TACAATGTTTAAAAGACATTTGGATAAGTACATGAATAAGAAATGTTTGGAAAGATATGGGCCAAACATGGGTGGGACTATTTTAGTTTGGGGTTTTGGTGGACATGGACTGGTTGGACTAAGAGCTCTGTTTCCATGCGGTGTGACTCCATGATTCTATGACTCTATAAATGCTCAAACTACTTTAAATTACCTTGGATAGTTATTTGAGCAACAGGTTAAGCAAGTGATTTCACATTGTTACCATGTGGTAGCAACAGGAATGGTAATCTCCACCAATGGGATGCTGCTGTCAAAGCTTACCACGCAGATGAGTAATGTATGAGTTTCCTTATCTGTGTTTTCCAGATATGTAAGATTTATGTCCCAATTACTCTTTTTCTCAGGTAGGGGAGTCCAAAAGTAGAGGGCATAGATTTAAGGTGAGGGGGGAAAGATTTAAAAGGGACCTGAGGGACAACTTTTTAACACAGAGGGTGGTGCATGCATGGACCGAGCTGCCAGAAGTGGTGGAGGCTGGTATGATTACAACATTTAAAAGTCATTTGCATGGATACATGAATAGGAAGGGTTTAGATGGATACGGGCCAAATGCTGGCAAATGGGACTATATCAGTTTAGGATATCTGGTCGGTGCAGACGAATTGGACCGAAGGGTCTGTTTCCATGCTGTATTACTCTATGATTGGTGGATGTTATCAAAATAGTATGACCCTTCAATTGTTTGGAATAGATTATCAACACCATTCAACCAGGCTGTGCTTGCACACTTAGAGAATGAGGTCCAACATTAGTTATGATTCTGCAATTGGACAGTACTTAACCCAATACTCTCAAAAGGTCCAAAGAATGACACTAACCACCAACTTATGATTATCAGTCAGATTCACAATGTAACTGGCATGAATTTAAACAAAAACTTTGGAGATATCCGTTATACAATGCACTGTCCATGGCAACAAATCAACCAGTCAGAGTCTATTTGCCAACTAATCAGGAACATTTTCTCATGCGGTGTAAATTAATATTCTCTTTGAGATTTAGTATTCTTGTATCTACCCTGATAAATGCAAGATGAAAAGATTCAACAGCAAGTCTCTTTGTTCAGAAATATCCAATTTGGAAAGTCTCAATCCCGTCACCAACCTGTCACTGTAATATTTATGGCAATGAGTCACCCCATGTAAATCAATGAGTGTCATGCTGCAGAAGGCAGGAGGTTCTTGAATTAGGGCAAATGGGGATCCTATGTTGCTGTAAGGTGATGGGCTTCTAAGGTTAAGATATTGAGGCAAACAAAGGAAGACAGATGAAGGGAATACATAGATATTACAGCTCACAAATAGTCCACTTGAATGGTTTACTCCATGCTGGTGTGCTTTCTCCTGCAAAATAAACATATAAATAACAAATTATATTTATAATAACACATTTACCTTCATAAATAAAATCTCAGGGCAGCTCACAGGAGTATTATAAGTGAAAATTGAATGTCAAGTTACATACAACAATATCAGAGCAGTCGGCCAAAAGCTTGGACAAGGACATGAGTTTAAGTCGATCAGCTACAATCATACTAAATGCCGGTGCAGGCTCAGAGAGCTGAATGGCCTACTCCTGCATCTATTTTCTATGTTTCTATGGCTTCTATATCTGTCAGCCAGGACTCCCTGACTGGACCAGGTTAACAGTCCCAGTCACCGAACTCATATTCTATGAGGTCCACCTGGCTGACCTCATTCCAATCACTACAGTCGTGCCCCTCTATGCTTGTGTGCGTCTTTTTGTTGTTGACAAAACCGGTATCCCATTATAATTTCATTGAGAAAAAACAATTATATCCCTCATCCGACACGGTTTGTAGTAACTTGCTGAGTGCACTTTTCCCACATTACAAGCATTGCATGCTCAGTGTTGGCTACAACGTGCTTTTGGGGATGCCAGCTAGAGCGCGGCTATGTCAATGCAAGTCCTTCTTATCTGGAGTTTGCTCTGGGCGCACCTGGTTCCAGGCCCATGGGTACGCGGCCCCTTTAAATCTGCTGCTGACGGGGCCCTGGAGGAGGCGGTGCCATTGCTGCCTTGGATCAGGGATCTCGTAGGTAAGTGGGTTTGGTGTTAATGGCTGCGGCAGGTTTAGATAAGGTGTCCGGCTCCATTGAAGCTTGATACCGGTTACCCGGAGAGTGAGGGCGGTCTCGGCCGGTTGCCCCTGGTTACCGAGCCTGAGGCCTGCTCTGGTTGCTCTTGGTTACCGGGGCCTGGGCTGTATTTTGATGGGCCGAGTGTCCCTTTCCTTTGTCAAGGCTTGGTTATGGCAAAGGCGGGTTCTTGGATTAATCGGCAAGGTTAATGGAAGTTTTTTTTTTATGTGAAGAGCAGGATCTGCCGCCTCAGCCCCTCCATTGCGAACTCGTCACCGTTAATGGATCCTCCGGCCCTTATGGTACATTTTACTACTTGGCTGAAAGCGAACTTGCATTTACACAACGCCCTTCCAAACGTTCAGGTCCTTCCCAAAGCGTTTTTACAACGCGTAAGGTGCTTTTGAAGTGCAGTCTTTGTTGTGTTTGGGAGATGTGGCGTCCGGTTTTGTGCACAGCAAGATCCCACAAGTAGCAATTTGCCAAGCCATCTGCTTTTCGGTAATGTAGATTTTTGAAATAGATCTTTGAAAGGATTCCAGGAATAATTCCAGTTCTTTTCCAAGTTCATGGATTTTCTTCCTCTGGGTTGTTGGGATGATGGGAGATGAAGGGGGAGAAATGCTATATCGTAGCTGTACTTAAAACAGCTCGGATATGGTCATGAGATAGTAGGAACTGCAGATGCTGGAGAATCTGAGATAACAAGGTGTAGAGCTGGATGAACACAGCAGGCCAAGCAGCATCTCCTATGACAACAAGGTGCAGGGCTGGATGAACACAGCAGGCCAAGCACTCACCTTTACTGGCTCCATCCCCGCCTCTTCGACCTGTTTGTTTCCTCTCTTCTATCCGCCTTCCACTCTCTCCCTATTTATTTCAAAACCCCCTTCCCCTCCCCCTTTTCTGATGAAGGGTCTAGGCCTGAAACGTCAGCCTCTCTGCTCGGCCTGCTGTGTTCATCCAGCCCTGCACCTTGTTGTCTCGGATTCTCCAGCATCTGCAGTTCCTACTATCTCTGACTCAGCATCTCCTATGATGCTGCTTGGCCTGCTGTGTTCATCCAGTTCTACACCTTGTTATCTCGGATATGGTCATTGCTGGTTCTGGATCACCGGCCTTCAGTGTTACTGCAGGGTTTTTGGTGTATCCAGTGCCCTCAACCATTTCTTGATGCCGTGCAAACTGAATCAAAATGACTGGAGATTTCCAAATTGTGATGCTGAGAACTGCATGAGGAAGTCCAAATGGGTTATTCATTCAGGATTTCCAGTTGAGCCTACGTAAACAAAGAGAATGTTCCCTCTTCTGGGAAGAGCTTGTCCAGAGGTAGTCAATAAATGTGTCACCAGTGTTTGGGAGAAGGAAAAGTTAAATGAAAGAAAATCCCTGATATTGACTTTATATGTAACAATTTATTTACTTAACCCTAACAGTGAACAAATTGACAGAACTACTAACAAAGTGAACAATTCCTCCAACTTCTAACTATTCCCTAACTGAACAAAATTGTACTGCTATTCTATTCCAATAAACATAAGTCCCACTTAAATAACCTAAGTAATTAGAAAAAAAATTAAAACTTAGTCCATGTGGACTTTGAGAGACTATGTTCTGGAATGCACTGCCTTCTCCACTGTCTCTCCAGTCATAAACCCTTTCTTCTGCTGATGCGGATGTTTTCTCTGTGAAGACTCTTAGTTAGAAGTGCCATGGTACCTTTTATGGATAAGATGCTGCTTTCTTAGAGAGCTTAGCAATTTTCTTGTGAGAGCTAGGTGCTTATTTCTCAAATAGTGGTTTGCTCTCACCCTGATTTTTTCAAAAACCCTCTCCTTATACTTCGATGACATATCAACTTTCTTACAATAGCATTGGTCTGAGATTGTCAAAACCATCAGAATTAAAATCAATTGGCTTTCAATCACTTGGTTTAAATTAATTGGCTGATTCCAGCTTGTTGCTAAGTCATCAAACAAGCCTAAGGTTTCCAATCACACAGCCAATTGATATATGTTTTCATGAACGAACTGGCTGTACATCTCCAGCTACATGTAGACACTTCTTTTGTGTGTGTGTGTGTATAAATCTCTAAGCTTAGAAAAGCACTTTATCTCTTAAAGGAACCACACACTGTACACAACTTCATAACACTAAGAAATCCAGTAGTGTGAATGTGTAACTGTAACTGGCTACCATAAGATTGGTTGAAGCTATTAGAGTAGATGCATTATGAAGGAAAGATGCAAAAGCATGTGAGGGAAAAGGGAATAACAGTGTGGAGCTGGAGGAAAACAGCAGGCCAGGCAACATCAGAGGAACAGGAAAGCTGGCGTTTCGGGTTGGGACCCTTCTTCAGAAATGTGTGTTCAGGTGAGGAACAATGGGAGACGCTCAAGTAGGGTAGAAATGCTGGCCAGGACTAATTGGGCTGGGCTAAATGGCTTATTTCTGTCCTTGGGTGGATGTGAAAGTTCACATGGAAAATAGTTGTGGTTTCAGTTTAACACTTCCAAAACAACCCATCACTACTGTGCTGTTTCCCTGAAGGTGTCATTTTTGGGGGTTTTTGTGTTTGTATCTTAGGATTGGAACTTGTATCCACAATCTTCAGTCTCAGGTGAAAATGTATTTATTGTAATAAGTTTGCATCTCCTCTCATTGCAATGCTTGCTCAGCTTTTATTTAAAAAAAATACTAGAAATCTGAAACAAAATAGAAAACATACATTTTTATATGCAAATGGACAACAATTCTCAGCTCACAAAAGAAAAAAAGTTTTAATGTTTGTCCCTTCATATCCCTAAAACGTTAAGTTGTCTTTTTTATGAATGATGCAGATCTCCTGCGAGCCTTCCACATATAACATTTTCTGTTGCCGTTTTAGTTTCTTGAACTCCCTGTCAGCCATCTGGCTAGATTTACTGACAGTGCCATAAGAAGGGATTTCCAGGATCTTGACCTTGACCTTGACCTTGACCATGTGGCTTGGAGGGGAGCTTGTGCATCTTTGTGTTCCCACGTGTCTGTTCCCTTCCTCTTTTTCTATGTGTTAGAGGTTATGGGTTTGGAAAATGTTGTTGAAAGAACCTTGATGAGCTACTGTAATGAATCTTGTATTAGGTAAATACCACTGCAGTTGGGGGTCTAAAGTTGATGGATGGGCACTAATCATGTGAGCTGGTTTGTTCTGGATGAGGTTCAGCTTCCTGAGCTGTTGGAAGCCACATGTATCCAGGCAAGTGGAAAGTATTCTATCACATTCCTGATTTGTGACTTGTAGGTAGTGGATAGTATTTGATGAGCCAAGGACAGTTTACTACCACAGAATTCTGAGTCCCTGAGTCGCTGACCAAAATATTTTATATAGCTTAGTCCAAGGCAAAGATTCTGAAAAATGTCAGCCTTCAGGATGTTGATGGTGGGAATTTTTGTGATTGTAACGTTTGAATGTCAAGTGTAGATAGTTATATTCCCTGTGGAGATGCTCAATCCTACTTGGCATTAATCAGCCTAAGCCTGAACATTGTTCTAGTTTTGCTATTTATGGACAGGTTCTTGAGGAGTTGCAAATAGTACTGTGTACAGTAATGTCGGTGAATGTCCCCACTTCTGATGGATGGAACATCACTGAAGCAACTGAAAGTGGTTGCCCTGAGGCACTGCTGGGCTGAAATGATCGATCTCCAACACCCACAACCATCTTCCTTTCTTGTGCTGTGTATGCTCCAAGAGTTTCTGCCAAACCACCACCCCAACCCCTTACCAGGGCTCCTTGATGCCACACCCAGTCAAATGTTGCCTATGTGTGCAGAGTAGTCATTGTCAGCCTGCTTCTTGAGTTCACATAATTGTTTTTCTGTTTGTTCCACCTTTCGACCTCAACTGTAATGAGGTCAGGAGCCAAGTGACCCTGGAAGAACCCAAACTAAGCAACTATGAGGTAATTATTGCTGTGTTAGTGGTGCTGCCTATTACATTTTCTGTCACTTGATCTAGAGTGGATAATTGGGATGATAATTGGCCAGATTATATTATCCTTTTTTTTTGTCTGAGTGGACAGAACATACCATGACAATCTTCCACATTTACCTAATAGTTACCAGTTTTGTATCTCTAGCTTGGCTAGAGGCAAATGTTCTGAGCACAAGTCTTCAGTACTACTGAAATTTTTTCAATGTGCTTACTTTTTTTTTTGTATATCCACTGTCCTGGGCAACTTCTGAATATTTCACAAAGTGAATTGACTGTAAGATGCCATTTGTGATATTGAGAAGCTTAGAGGGAAGTCAAGATGGGTCATTCACTCAGCATCTGGCTGAAGATGGTTGCAAATGCTTCAGCCTTGTCTTTTGCACTGATGTGCTGGGCTCCTCTGTCATTGAGGATAGCGGGGTTACTTGTGGAGCCTTCTCCAATTAGTTGTTTAATTATCATCCACCATTCACAACTAGATGTTGTAGATCTGATCATTTCCTTCACATGGTCAATTAATGGTTGAAAATAAGTACAAAACTTGTCATTAATGGTCATGTCCCATGAATGAATTCAAAGTTCTGTTTTGAGGGCTTGAAAACTTTTTTGGTGCTTCTAATTTCCCTTTTTCTGAAAAATTAAAATAAGTTTACAAAAAATGATGTTTGTAAAAGTGAAAGTACGAATGGTCATTTATACATGATTTTAGTACATCATTACATTCAGTTAATAAAGTCCAGTCAAGGCAATTGAGCAAACTACGCTGAATTTTGAAAAAGTTGGATGATTTATAGATACTATATCAACAATTTGAGTGCTGTGTTGCAAGAACTGAACCATTTAACAGATGTTTCTACATTTTTATTATTAGTTGAACTTTTTAGAAAATACATAAATATAGACTTGCAAAAATCCACAAATTGACCTAAGTAAGTGTGCTTTATGGGGTGAGGTATTGTTCAAATCTTTTCCAGTTCCTTGTTGGATCCAGTATGCTGACACACACACACAAACTTGTGCATTTCAGGTTGGAGCGTTGAATGATCAAGGGAATGCCCCCTTTGCCAGGTGCAGAACTTGTGCAGACACCTGTCCAGTTATATCGGTATCTCTTTCGATGCTGCAAGCAACTTCCTGCAAAAAACATACAGCAGCATTACAAACATGCAATACGGCAGGTTTGTAAATTGTTGAAAAATCCAGCTTTTTGTATAATACTTTTATTAGTAGTTAATTACAAGATGAGACTTGCAATTTTTTTTGTTGAGAATCAAAACAACCTGTGATTTTAAATTGTTAATTCTGAAAATGTTGGAAAGAAGGACAGTTGGATAATAGGATATAACAGCATAGAAGAGCACTTTTTTTTTCTTGAACCTATAACTTTTTATAAACCAGTTCCTCCCACCTTTTTAAGGATTTGTGATTTTGAACTTTCTATTCTAGTTCTATACACCTATGTTTTGGAATGAAAAATGCATGTCACTTTTTTTCATTATAATTTAATCGGACTTCGATCCTTCCTGCCCCCTCCTGTAACATGTATCTGTAAGCCTCAAGTTATTCAAAGTCCCCTTCAGTTAACCATTCTCTCTTTCACATGCAAATTTTGACAGTGTTCAGGAGTAAGGAGTAAGGAGTCACTTATATCCAATGAAGGAATAGAATAATAAGAGTAGCCCATTCAGCGCTTCTGAGTTTGTTCAACTAATCAACATAGCTGGTCTCTATCTGAACTACTTTTATATCCTGATCTAGCAAAAAAATTATCAATCTCAAATTTAAAGTAATTAATTGAGTTAGCAACTTTTTTTGCAGAACTGTCTCACATTGATTCAGCCACTTTTGGAGTATTGCGTACAATTCTGGTTTCCCTCCTCTAGAAAGGATGTTGTGAACCTGGAAAGGATTCAGAAAAGATTTACGAGGATGTTGTCAAGTTTAGAGGGTTTGAGCCATAGGGAGAGGCTGCATAGGCTCGGGCTGTCTCACTGGAGCATCTGAGACTGAGGAGTGACTTTACAGAAGTTTATAAAATCATGAGGGGCATGGATCGGGTAAATAGGCAAGGCCTTTTCCCCAGGGTAGGGTAGTCCAAAACTAGGGGGCATAGGTTTAGGGTGAGAGGGGAAAGATATAAAAGGGACCTAATGTGCAGCCTTTTCACGGAGAGGGTGTTGTGTGTATGAAATGAGCTGCTGGAGGAAGTGGTGGAGGCTGATACAATGACCGCCTTTTAAATGCTTCTGGATGTGTACATGAATAGGAAGGCTTTAGAGGGGTAAGGGTCAAATTATTTACTGTACTACAGTGCTTCATGATTGAACACCTCTATCAAAAGTCCCTTTGACCTCTTATACTCTAAGGAGAACAATCCCAGTCTATCTAATCTGTTAATAACTTTAATCCTTTACCCTAGTTTTGTAAATCTTTTCCGTGCCCTCTCTAAGAACTTGGCATCCTTTACAAAATATGTTTCCCTGATTTGGACTCAGTATTTCAACGGAGACCTAACCAGTGTTTGCTTTAGCACGACTTTGAGATAACACAATGTGGAGCTGGATGAACACAGCAGGCCAGGCAGCATCAGAGGAGCAGGAAAGTTGACATTTTGAGTCAGGACCCTTCTTCAGAAATGGGGGAGGGGTGGGAAAGGAGCTCCGAAATAAATAAAGGAGAAATGGGGCTGGGGAAGGTAGGTGGGATGGTGATAGGTGAGTGCAGGTTGAGAGTGGTAGGGACTGGTCAGTGAGGTGGAAGGAGCGGGTAGGTGGGAGAGAAGATGGACGGGTTGTGTCATGTCGAGAAGGCAGGGATGAGAGGGAGGGTTGGTCATGGGATGAGGCTGGGGGTGGGGAGATTTTGAAACTGGTAAAATCCACGTTTAGGCTGTCGGGCTGTAGGCTCCCAAGACGGAAGATGAGCTGTTGCTCCTTCAGTTTCCAGGTGGCATCACCGTGACACTGGAGGAGGCCCAGGATGGACATGTTGTCCAGGGACTGGGAGGGGGAGTTGAAATGGTTTGCGACTGGGAGGTGTTGTTGTTTGTCGCGAACAGAGCGCAGATGCACTACAAAGCGGTCTCTGAGCCTCCACTTGGTCTCACCAATGTAGAGGAGGCCACATTGACAGATGTGCAGGTGAATCTCTGTCTAACGTGGAAGGTTTGTTTGGTGCCCTGAATGGACGTGAGGGATGGATGTGTAGGGGCAGGTGTAGCACTTCCTGCAGTTGCAGGGAAAGGTGTTGTGGGTGGTGGGGCTAGTGGGGAGTGTGGAGCAGACAAGGGAGTCGCGGAGAGAGCGGTCCCTACGAAAGACAGATAGGGGTGGGGAGGGAAATGTATCTTTTGTTGTGAGATTGGATTGTTGTAGGTGGTGGAGAATAATAAGTTGGATACGGAGGTTGGTGGGATGATATGTGAGGACAAGGGGGATTCTGTCTTTGTTTTTGTTGCGAGGAGGGGTGTGAGGGCAGAGGTGCAGGAAACACAAGAGATGTGATTGAGAGCATTTTTGACTACCGAAGGGGGGGATGTTGCAGTCCTTGAAATAGGAGGACATCTGGGATGTTCGGGAGTGGAACGCCCCATCTTGGGACCAGACGTGGCAGAGGCAGAGGAATTAAGAGTAGGGGATTACATTCTTGCAAGAGGGTGGGTGAGAGGAGGTGTAGTCTGGGTAGCTGTAGGAGTCGGTGGGCTTGAAATAGTTATCTGCTACGAGGTGATCATCAGCGATGGAAACAGAGAGGTTCAGGAAGGAGAGGGAGGTATCGGAGATGGTCCAGGTGAATTTGAGGTTCGGATGAAAGATGTTAGTAAAGTTGATGAACTGTTCAAGCTGTTCCGTGGGAGCATGAGGCAGCGCCAATACAGTCGTCGATGTCGTGGCAGAAGAGGTGGGGGATAGTGCCAGTGTACTTCTGGAAGAGGGACTGTTCCACGTGTCCTACAAAGAGGCAGGTATAGCTGGGGCCCATGCGGGTTCCCATGCCCTTAGTCTGTAGGAAGTGGGAGGAGTCGAAGGAGAAGTTGTTAAGGGCAAGGCGAGTTCTTTAAGCAGATGAGGGTATCAGTGGAGGGGGACTGGTTGGGCCTGCGGGAGAGGAAGAAGCGGAGGGCTTTTGGGCCATCTGCATGGGGAATACAAGTGTACAGGGATTGGATGCCCATAGTGAAGATGAGGTGTTGGGGGCCAGGGAATTGGAATTCTTGGAGGAGGTAGAGGGCGTGGGTGGTGTCCCGGACGTAGGTGGGGAGTTCCTGGACTGGGGGCAGAAAACAAGAGTCAAGGTAAGTGGAGATAAGTTCAGTGGGGCAGGAGCAGGCAGAGACAATGGGTCAGCCAGAGCAGTCAGGTTTGTGGATTTTGGGAAGGAGATAGAAACGGGTGGTGCGGGGTTGGGGAAACGATGAGGTTTGACACTGTGGGTGGGAGGTCACCTGAGGAGATGAGGTTGTGAGTGGTTTGAGAGATGATGTTTTGGTGGACTGGGGTGGGGTCATGATCGAGAGGGCAATAGGAGGAGGTGTCAGAGACTTCCTTGCATTTACCTACTCCATATCATGGAATCAGCCTCAGTTTATAATGAGACAACAAGGTGCAGGGCTGGATGAACACAGCAGGCCAAGCAGCATCATAGGAGCAGAGAGGCTGACGTTTCGGGCCTAGACCCTTCATCAGAAAAGGCCCTGCACCTTGTTGTCTCGGATTCTCCAGCATCTGCAGTTCCTACTATCTCTGATTCAGTTTATAATGATCCTGTTTGTATGTTTAGTGGCCTTTGTAACATATCCTATCAACTTAAGACTTTATAAACTTCTTTTCTGTAGGAAAAAATGAGTATATACTAAGTCTAATGTTCCATTTAGCCATTCTGATTTTTTTTTTATTTTAATCTGTGTCCATGAATCTCATTGGGCCTCTGCCTTTCTGAACTTGTTTAAATAATACTGTTCATTATTTTTACTTGAAATATCTGATGACCCAGGTACCTGTATTGAAATTCATCTGTCTCAGTTTTGACCACTCACATAATTTTTAATACTTGCACTAATTATACCACAACCTTTACTATAAGCAAACTTAGATCTATGTCCCTGTTTTGTGTTATCCAGATCTTCTAATTCAGTATCTTCTAATTTGAGCATATGCTTATTTATCAGAGATAGTAGGAACTGCAGATGCTGGAAAATCCTGAGATAACAAGGTGTAGCTCTACACCTGCTTATTTATCCCCAGAGTTTGTCTTTTTGTTTGCCTGCGGTCAATAACTTACTTTGAGCTTCATGCACTTCTTTGTGTGGAACGTTAACCTGTGTACCTCTGGAAGTCTATATAAACTACATGCATAGACCTTTACAGCCGCTCACTGCTCCTTGCCTTGGGCATTAAAAATCAATTAGGGTTGTTAAATGTTACTTTTTCTTTTGTAAATGCACCCGTCAGTTAATGGACTCCAATTTCTCCCAAGTGTTCGTTTAATCTCTCTTCCTTAATGGTGATTTCCACGTGGCCTATATTAAATTACCAGGTCTATAATTCCTGCTGCTTCTCTTACCTACTGTTTTTAGTTTTGCAAACAAACTTGCCATTTATGTAGTGCTTATTATGATCACTCAATGTCTCAAATGTCTTTACAGCCAATGCAGTATTTTATCAGTGTAGTCACTGTTGTAATGTATGAAATGCAGCAGTCAATTTGCATGCTGCAACTTCCCACAAAGAGCAAAGTGGTAACTAGATAATGTTTTTTTTATGACACTGATTTGAGGGATAAATATTAGCCAGGAAATCAGGGATAACTCCCTTACTTTTCTTCAAAATTATGCCCTGGGAACACAGTGCAGGTAGGGTTTGTTTTAATTTCTGATCTGCAAGGTGACACCTTCAGCAGTGCACAACTTCCTCAATGTTGCTTTCAAGTATTCCTGTCAGACTCCATTGCAAATAGCAGTGTAATTTGCTGGACTGCGGAATTTTACTGCTCTGCTAACTGTTCAAAAGAGAAAGATGACAGTGTCCACTTTTTCCATGTCACTCTTGAGGTTAGATGTGCAAACTTTAATGCTTCAACTGTTTAGTCTGAGTTCACTCTGATTCACTCACCATTCTCCCTTCTCAGCTCAAACTGTTTCAATTTCAACTCCCTTTCTTTTTCCCTTTCCTGGAATTTG